TTTCGGGACTTTGCTCCACTCATACACTCTATTAGCAACCCAATACCTTCCTATGTCATTTAATAATCTAAAATTTTCCAACTTGAACCTATTGCAACGATTTCTGTTTTTTCCACTGGTACACCTCAATCATACCCCGCCATCCTTCAAATTCTGTGCCTTTCTAGAGAGCAGATCCAGTGTCCTTAATCTATTCTAATAGGAAAGAATTATGATACATCGAATTAACTTTGTCATCCTTCTCTGTATGTTTTCCAGTGCAGTTATGTCCATTCTGTGCAACATAATCTAAATGGGGCCTAAACAACCTGGGGACTCCTGTTATGTATAGTTCTTAATATGAAGCCGAGAATTAAATTGGTTTTATTAGATTTAGATTACTGGTAATAAAAACTCCTAAATCTTTTCGAATTCACATTGATTAAGATCTACATTATTTAGTATATAAGCACCATAGTTGTTTTATTTTCCAAGCCTTAGAATTTTGCATTTATCTTTATGGAACTGCATCTGCCACTTCTACGACCACTGCAGCAGTCTATTCAAGTCTTCCTGTATCGCTTGAGTGTCCTAGTCAGAATTAATCCGAAGGCCTATTTTGGTGTCATTGTCAAACTTGGTTATGTCGCTATTCTCTCATCTTTGTCGTTTATGCATAATGTGAACAACAAAGGGTCCCAACACTGACTTCTGTGGAATTCCGCTTTTGTCTTTTCCCCAATCTAATTTCTTCACATTTGTGCAAACTTTCTGTTGTCTATCTTTCAAAAACATGCTTCTGTCAATTAAATCAAAATTATTCTGTTCTGCTATCACATTCATTACCATGATTTGTCTCCTCAAATGGATTTGATGAGTTTTAATCTTTCCATGTCTGAGAACCATGCCACTAGTGACTCTGATGGTGTATAACTTATTTTTGTCCTGACCTATTTAATTTTTTATTTTGTTCAATCATTATTTGAAAATTTGGCTACACTTATCACAATAATCTTTCTTTTGTTCATTTTTAAATTCCATTTTTAATATACCTTTCCAAATTCATTAAGCAACTTTCGCAATTTCTGTTCAGAATCTCCGAAAAGCACCGTGTAATCGGCAAAAAAAAAATCTGTGACAACTCACACTTTGTATTAGATTCTTTGTCTTTTAATCCCTTTAACCTGTCCCCTCTTCCATACGTTTGCAACATCTACCACATTGCTTCCCTATTCACTTCTATCATATGCGCTTTCTGAATCCATAAATGCAACGAAAACTTCATTAGCCTTATCTAAATATTGTTCGTTTATAGTCTTCAATGTAAATACTTGTTCTACACCTCCCTTCCCGGCTCTTCCTAAAACTACGTTGTTTATCAACGATCCTGCTCTCTGTCTTACCCTTAATTCTTTCAGTAATAACCACTTTACCTGGTATACTCACAAGTCTATTGCATTATAATTTTTATGCTCTCTTTGTTTTATTTTATACAAAGGAACTATGCACGCTTTTCCCAATTCATGAGTACATTCCCCCCTTTCAAGCATTTATTAAACAAAGGCACTAACCACTTCCAAACTATATCCCTACCTATTTTAAAGATTTTTATCTTGATCCTATCAATCTCAGCTGATTACCCTCTTTCATTTTTACCCACTGCCGAGCACCTCCCCCACACTCATGACTGGCTATTCCTCACTTCTACAAAATGTTATATCCTGGTCAGTGCATGAAATCACTACCTCCCATTCTTCATCAACGTCAAACAGCTCAGAATATTCCCTTCATCTTCCCAATACCTCCACATCCTCATCTAATAACTCCCTCTTCTGTTTTTAATTTTTAAATTCATTCATTTCGTAGGCTTTCTCAACCTATTAATCTCCAAATCTTTTTTTTTCTCCGCAAAAACATTTTGATGCAGCCTCTCCCACTCTCATTTCTTCTCCTCTTTTACTCCTTAACGACTCACTTCTCTTTTACTCTCCGTATACACCACCTTATATCACTTCTGCCTTGTAAAATACTCTCGTATGCTATATTTTTTTGTGTCCTATCACTCTCATTGCCTCATCATTTCATCAATAGCTCCTCTTCCTTCCCGCACCCACCCTCCTATACCAACTAACGTTTCATGCACACTTTAACACTGGGTGCTTGTATAATCATATTTTTCACATATTTCATTTAAACACATTCACAATTATATTTAATCTTTAATAGAAATGTATTCTTTATATTAATTTACAAGTGAATGGTTGATTTATTGACTCATGTGCAGTCGAAAAATATTTGACCATATAATATAAAGAACTCTTGTCGATACAGCTTGCGTTGATGACGTTCGGGTGTGCGGGCGCGCTCTGCCTCTTACTCCAGCAGTTAATGGGACCAGTTGGGGACAAGTTACTACATCGGAGGGGCTGATGTCAGGTTGTCCAGCCCCTGATGCCTGCGCCAACATCACTTGCCCAACTCCACTCTCCTGCCATCCAACATGGGACAAACCCTCATGCAGGTCAGTGAAAAAACGTTAAGGTACATCACTTATTATATAGGTACACTGACCGATAAACTAGTGGTCACTGATATCTTAGTCCATGAAGGAAAACGTTTATGTCCGAAATGTTCTACATAATTCCAGTTAGCCTAGACCCCATACCACTTCCTTGTAACAACTGTAAATTTTTGAAATATATTTTATTTTAATTTTTATTTTCATTGTCATTGTCATTTTCATTATTGGAGCAATTACTACGCCACCTTCATGTATCTATCAGCGCTCATGTCGCGTCCTCAGCATAGAGCTTGAGCCAGTGAAAAGGTCATCTTATGACAAAGCAGAGCCATTTTCTGAACTTAGTTTTCGGAAATGCTGTAACTTCAGGTACAGAAGCTGTTTCATATTTTAATGTAATATCGTACAACGCATCCACTTCATATTATTTTTATGTACTAATGTGGGAAATTTTTAAAAGACAATATGCTAACACTTATTGTGAAACCACTCTGCAGCACACGTTGGGAGTACCAGAGTGATTGTTTAAAATCACTGAGGTATCAGATTGTTGAAGTCTATGATGCAAGGAAAGTTTATACACAACCCGCATATGGGAGAGAGGAGCTTATAGCTATAAAAAATTATCTTTTCAGAAAAAATATGTTCCTACTGAGTAGAGGTCTTCCCCCCATTAGCTGTAACCCATCTTTAAAGTGTAGCAGGTTAATATTAAGCTAGACACTGTTAGTGCTTCATGTACACAATTGATGGACTTTTGGCCTAGCATAAACATGTCCTGGTCGGTAGGATCTCGGATGCACATATTAAAAATAATGTTGACCTTACTGAAAGGCCCCAGAAATTGTATATCTCTCATGACTTTACCCTAGTGAGCTTTGATGTCAAAGTCCCTGTCCCTGGTTTGCTTTCGTACCTTGAAGAGGAACTAGAATACTTCCCCATGCCCTTCCCCACGAAAATAATAATTGAATTGATAAAATTTTGTGTTACTGATTGTAAGTTCGTGTTTGAAGGGAAATACTATGCTCAAAAACAAGGCATGGGAAATCCCCTCAGCCCATTACTCAGCAACTTGAACATGGAATTCTATGAGATTAGAATCCTTAAAGACATTCTCCCAGATAAAGCTAGTTGGTTCAGATACGTAGATGATGTTCATTGCCTATGGCCTAGAGATTCCAACATTGATGAGTTCCTACCTAGGCTCAGTGGTCTAGTACCTTCCATTAAGTTCTCTACAGAACATGAAATAAACAACACTTTGCCGTTTCTAGATGTTTTTATCGTGTTGATAGAAAATTCAAATTTACAGTTTATAGGAAGTCCACCAATGTGTCGTCATACATTCACTACTATTCCAACCACGAAACTAGGGTAAAAAGGAGTGTGTTCCTCACAATGTTTTTCAGAGCCTTGTACATCTGCAGTCCAGAGTACTTAAAGGACGAAAACAGCAAGATATACAGCATAGTCACAAAACCGAGATATCCTAGAGATTTTGTCGAGAAGGCACTAATGTCAGCAAGAAAGACTTTCTACAGGACTGAACCTAAGGAAGTGATTGCCAGGAAGAATGTACTAGTTTTACCATACAATGAGAACCTGGTTTACCTGTGTGAGGCATTAAAAAAGATCACTATAAACCTTGCTTTCAAAAACACTGGGATTGTGAAACAAAGGCTGAATAAAAACACACCCTCCAACAAAGTTGGTGGGGTTTACAAGATCCCATGTACTCAATGTCCTCTCTCATATGTTGGTCAAACAGGTAAACTTCTGGAAATCAGAATAGCCTAACATAAATACTCAGGTCAGGGCAGGAGTCGAACACTATCTTTAACCACGTTAGCTCCTGTAATCACCCACCAGGATGGGCTGCTGCCCAGATTATTGTACCAAACAGTTCTGTCATAGAACGAAACATAATTGAATCTTCTCTTTTGAAACATGACAGGAATGCCGTATATAACTCAAATTATAGGTTATACAAGCTCGATAGCTATTTATTAGCATCTAATGTACACAGCCTTAAACAACAATGCTATACAAAATCACAGGATTGCTCATGCCAGGTGGTTTCATGACGGATTGGTGATGCTCGACCTGTGTCTACGCACAAAAACTTCATGTTACGTCAAATGTGAATGGTTATAAAACGCATTTAGCTATTACTGTACCATACATTGACAGGTACACATGATTACGTGATAACATAAGTAGTGGGGTTAAAGGATATTAGAAGAAGAAATTGGGATCATAGAAACATTATCAGAATGGTATAGAAGATTCCCAAGTAAGGCATATTAATCGAGACAGAGAAGAATACAGTAGTAGACAATATTTAGGAAAAATATAAAGAGATACTTATGAATACCCCTGGGAACATTAGAGTACCCCAGACCGGGACATTTAACTGAACAAAGAAAACATTCATTTCCTTTCTTTTATTAATATATATATATATATATATATATATATATATATATTATATATATATATATATATATATATATATATATATATATATATATATAATTGTAACCACGAACGAGTGGTATTGATCAATAACAACACTGCATTAGCCAAGGACTCGAACCCATGCTGCTTAGGCCTGCTTCATGGTAAGCGAAAACACATAGCGCTCTAACCCACAGGACCACGCAGTCCTACAAGAATGACGCACCCAGCCAAGCTAGGTGTTTTACCGTCATCCGAGGACATACAATGGAGTGGGTGCCTCTGAGCTAATATCATTCTACTTCCTGTTTGGTGTACTATGCCAACAAGCAGTTTTTTGTAATATTGTAACCACGAACCAGTGGTATTGATCTATAACAACACTGCAACTAGCCAAGGACTCGAACCCATGCGGGTTTTCCCCACCTCATGGTGAGCGAAAACACATGACGCTCTAACCCAAAGGACCACGCAATCCTGCAAGATTGAGCACCCAGCCATGCTAGGTGTTTTACCGTCATCCGAGGGCATACGGTGGTGTGGGTGCCTCTGAGCTAATTTCATTCTACTCCCTGTTTGGTGTATTAACCCAACGAGCAGCATTATATATCATTGTAACCACGAACGAGCGGTTACAATGAGGTCAGTGGTCACGTGTGGTCATACCTGCCTAAGCTCTTGGGAGTTAGCGTGGGCTGTTACCAAGCACCATGGATTGTTGTAGTGTTTTAGAATCCCAGGTTCAAGTGTTGAAGAAGGAGATTCTACTTCTTCAGGAGGAAAATAGGAGGCTGAAGCTTCGCATAGATGAGTTTGGGAGTGAGTGTGAGAAGGATTTAGCTGGTAAGGAGGAAATGGTCACCAGCAGTGGTGGTGGCAGCCGCGTTAAGTGGCAAGTGGTTTACAGTTCAGGAAGAAGGAAGATGAGAGTTCATAGAGAAGATGTAAAGGTAGGAAATCGATTCTCCGTTCTCCAAGACAAGTGTACTTCAGTGGTTAGTGAGAGTGAAGGTACCACTGGTTCCCCTGCTAATCAAGGTAAGAATATTTTAATAGTAGGCGATTCTCAGGTAAGATATATGGACAGAGAGTGTGCCTTCCTGGAGCTGGTGTTGGTGACATAGCCAGCAGGTTGGATAATATTATAGTAGGTAATGAGAACAAGCAGATTATCTGTCATAGTGCTGGGGGTAATGACATTGGGAAGGGCAGGAGAGAGGAGCTGCTGGATAAGTACAGGTCAGCCATAGAAGTAGTTAGGTCAAAGGGAGGGATCCCAGTCATATGTAGCATCTTGCCTAGAAAGGGAGTGGGGAATGAATGGATGTCTAGGGCACTTGGTATAAATTGCTGGCTAGACAGGTACTGCAAGGAACTTGCAATCCCATTCATTAATAACTGGCACCTATTCTTTGGGAAACGTGATACGTATGCAAGGGATGGGGTTCATCTCTCTGGGGATAGGGTGGTTGCATTAGCCAATTCGATTGAGAGGGTAATTGATGACTTGTCTAGGAATTTAAACTGATAGATTATAGAGATATAGGTGTTTGTGGGAAACAATCAGGCTGCAGCATTAGGGTTAAAAACAACAATTATTACCGGGATACCTCAGGGATATGTTTAGAAGACAATATTCAAAATAAAGTTGCTAGTAATGGCAAATCAGTTGATCAACAAAGAGAGATAGTAGAGGGCAATGAGTGATTAGCTCCCTTAAGGTTTACTATGCAAATAGTAGGAGTCTAAGAAATAAGAATGATGAGCTAAGATTACTTGCACGTGTAAGTAATATAGATATTATTGGTATAACAGAGACCTGGTTCAACCTGAAAGATAGAGAAATGCCTTCAGAATACAACATACAGGGTTATAAACTATTCCACACTGATAGGGTCAACAGGAAGGGTGGTGGTGTGGCGATATATGTCAGAGAAAATTTAAATTGTTGTCTTAGATATGGTATAAGATTAGAAACATCGAACAGAGAATCTGTTTGGCTACAGTTTCTCGAGGGACGTGACAAATTAATTTTGGGTGTGATTTATAGGCCCCCAAACCTTGATAGAGAGTGCAGTAAGCTATGGGACGAAATTCATAAGGCATCTAGATATGAAAATGTTATGATAATGGGAGATTTAAACTTTAGACAAATTGATTGGAACAATATGACAGGAAATCTTGAGTCTAGTGACTTTCTTGATACGGTTCAGGATTGCTTTTTAGAATAGGTTGTGACAGAACCAACTAGAAGAAACAATCTGCTTGACTTGGTTCTTGCCAACAAAGATTCACTAATTAATAATCTTGAGGTTAATGATGAGCTTGGGGAAAGTTATCACAAATCACTTAGTTTCAATATATCATGGAATTACCCAGATAACTGCAATCAAATCTCTGTCCCAGATTTTCGCTTAGCCGACTTCATGAGACTGAAAAATTACCTGGGTGGGCTAAACTGGGATGTCCTGACTATGGGTCAGGTAGGTGATCTTGGTTGTCAGTATGACGTTTTCAGAGTATAGTTCTAGCTGCCCAGA